TACATGAACTATTTCAAAAACAAGTCTTATTTTATTTTACTTCATTTTCTCCTAGTTTGGTCTTTCTTATCCACTAGCTAGCTGTCCACTCTCAGTCGAGAAGTACTAATCAAAGTACCAGCTGAAGAGTGTGAAGGCTATCATGTGCTTCCTCAGACACATGAAGTATTTTTTCATGCTATGTCACAGCGTGGCTGAACTCCTCCTGCTCTCCTCAGCATACATGGCTCACAGATACCCACAATTGTTTGTCTCTCTCTGATTAACAGAAGACAATAACACTGTCCTTCCCACCCAGAGTGCACAGATAGTTTTGCAGTCTTGGACTCAAAGCACCATCTGTGGCATCATCTGGATTTGAAAGTACAGTCTCCTAACAATAGGGCAAATGCTTTTCTGTTGCACCACTTGGGAGCCCATCTAATTTTATTCTGTTAAATCAGGTAACTAATAAGGTGTGAGCCAAAGACTGTGCATGACAGTATAGGGCAATGGTGGCTGATAAGGCTCTGATATCAGAAGCTGCCAGTGCCCTGAACAAGGCCCTTAAACCTATCTGCTTCCTAACAAGCTGGGATATGCGCGGAAAAGAATTTCACTGTACTGTAACGTATGTGACAGATAAAAGCATCTTTAACTTCTTCATGGCCATTATCTTCTGATGCTATCAGGCTATTCTGAAAGCTAGTATATGAAGAGGGTTTACTTTCTTTTTTCCCATGACTGTATGTACTTTCAGTCAAAGCATTCCTTTCAGATTTTATTAGTCAGTGTGTTCCGTGTTGTGTTGAATGGTCACATGCTGCTTCAGAATACTTTACATTTATTTCTTTGCCCTTATTTAGCGTTTTTGTAAATCCTAGAGACTGTGCATTTTCACGTTTTTCAATAAATCATTTTATGTATTCTTTTCCCAAAGATTGAGAAGTACGTAAAACATAAGACACACACTCATTGGTCACCTTTTAACAGGAACACCTGTATGCCTGCTCATTCCTGCAGTTATCCAGTCAGACAATCATATGGCAGCAGCACAATGCACCTTGTGTGTGAAAATCCCAGATCATCAACAGTTTCTGAAATACCAGCCCATCTGGCACCAACAACCATGCCATGGCCAAAGTCACTGCGCTCATATTTTCCCCCCTTCTGATGTTTGATGTGAACATTAACTGAAGCTCTTGACCTATATCTGCAAGATTTTATGCAATGCACTGCTGCCACATGATTGGCTGATTGGATAACTGCATTAAAGTACAGGTGTTCCTAATAAAGTGGCTGGTGAGTGTACTGCATGTAACCTCTGAGGTTTGAACTGTTAGAACAAAATGAAGCAGATTTTATAAAGCTGTAGGCTAATAGTAAGCACAGTTTGATGAGTGAGCAGCTGTCCAAAGAGACCTATGGTGGTAATTCACTGGTGATGTGGAACTTTGATATATGGTGTGTAAGTGAGTAGTTGGTTTTGTAATATTGTTGTGTAGGTGTCTAATAAACAGTTTATGTGCTGTATTACAGGGTGAACGTGCTACGGGTTTTGGAGTAGCTCTGCTTTTGGCTCTGTTTGGTCAGGCATCTGAAGACCCACTTCTCAATATGGTGTCTCCATTGGGCATCACTACCGTAAATGCTTCCTCAGGAGACCAGATGGAGAGAGACAGCAAAAGGAGAAGATTAGTCTGAAGACCACCTCAAACCGCTCTAGTTTCTATATTCTGAAACCAGTCCAAAAGCAGCAACATAACATTAAATGCATAAATACACACGCCCCTCATTTGTTTGACCATCAAGCACTGACTATCTCAAAATTACTGTTTTAATTCACTTTACTAGACATAAGAACACAAGCAGTAGTGATGTATTGAATAAAATGAAGGTGTCAAAATAAATTTGTCACAGAGACGCTTACATGTACGTTATTTATCACGGTGCAAAGGCAACGTTTCTGCTGCAGTCCAGTGACGTCACTTCACCCGACCAAACACGTGAGGAGGGTGGGAATTTATAATTACATAATCTGTAATGGTTTTAAGGAGAAAAAGTGATGTCATATTGATGTCATCATGACGTCATTCTGCTACCTCAATCATATGCGAGTCAAAATGAATATAACGGAGTCAAAAGTAAGTAAGTAGTAAACTATCAGTAAATTCGGCATGCTAGTTAACGAACATGCCTAGTTTATATCGCTTTAACAAATTTACGTAGTTCTACAGCAGTCGCGCTCTTACTGAGGAGTTGCCTGTAATGGACATTTAGTGATTTAACGATGTGTCATGATTGGTTTAGAGTGCATGAAAAACCAATCATACACGAGCTAAACCAATCATACACGAGTCAAAACAAATATAAACAAATGTCTCTGAGGCCCATTAGTGGATGGCTGCAGTACTATTTCTTAACCCCGCCCTTTCCCATATTAGTGAATGGGACCCAGGTCAGTTTTAAAGGGAAATTCTGGCAAAAAAAAAAAGAAAAAGAATTTAATATATCGTTTGTTATGTATGTAATATTGTGTTGCACTGGACTGTAACGCTTAATGTCCACGGTTTAGCAAAATTCATGATTGATTGATTGATTTAGATTTTTTTTTTTTTTACGTTTTTCTGTTTTCACCCGAAGGGTACGATACCCAGAATTCAATACGGCAACATGTAATTCACACGGTTTAGCAAAATTCCTGATTGATTGATTGATTTAAAATTTATTTATTTTTTTAAGTTTTGCTGTTTTCACCCAAAAGGTCCAATACCCAGAATTCAGTATGGCAACATGTAATTCAAGCAATGAGAGTACCTACTGTGATTGACATTACATTTACATTTACAGCATTTGGCAGATATATCCAGATATATCCTTATCCAGAGCGACTTACAGAAGTGCTTTAAAGTCTCTATCAGTAAATACATCCTGATACTGGTCCATTAGGTCACAGACTAAGAATACCATCAGATTGAGCAATCAGACCCTCTGAGACACGTGACTCTGCATCTCTGACGTCTCATGTGACGGCATTCCAGGAAATACAGCAGTGTAAACATAGCAGGAAGTTTGTGATTTTTAAAAAGCAAGCTAGAATGCTTGCGCAAGACGTTGTGTTGGGCATACTGTCGACTAAGACATATTTCCAGATGGTTGTTTTTAAAACAATATAGAAGGATAATTCAGGTCCAAGTTGCTCTGTCTCTGCAGCTCCCATTTCATCTCGTCTAAGTTGTGAACTATCAGTAAACTCTACTGATGCTAAGAATTTAACAGACTCAAACTGCTAGTTAATGAACATGTCTAGTTTATACCACATTAACAAACCTATATAGTTCTGTATCAATCGTGGTAGTAACTTGGCTTTCAGTGTAACAACGTCCCCGATGTTATAATTGTAAAACAAAGTGTAAACAACAAAGTATACCAACATTCACTTCTCTCTAGTATAAACGCTCAGAGTTTTTATGAGATGTGTGTATATATATATCCGGTCACTGAAGGCTAGACCGTTTAGCTTAGCATCATTTAGCTACTGACAGGATGCCAAGCTTTAAGGATTTTACAGAATTATACCATTTCAAAGTGTTCATTTAGCCAAATAGCATGCCCTGCCCTTTACTGCTACTCCATAATAATAAACTGATAACATTTTAGCTAATTTTCTAAATAAAATTTTCGATAGATATTTCGGTCAGATTATAACCAAGTAGTTCATTTGCTAGGCGAATCGCATTATTTCACGAGCAGGTTAGAAATCTCTTTTTGAGATTTGAAAGCGGAGTCAAAGGGTTTTCCACTGAAGAAGAGACTAAAAAAGGCAATTCTGGCTGTATTTAGTATAAAACGGAGAGAAAAGAAGCTCCATGCCCGAAAAAAGCTAAACTGAGGTAGGAGAACTAGTTGTAGGCTAGCAAGTGCTTGTCTTCATGCATGTAGCTACTAGTAAGATGGCTGTTAACACAAAGATAAATAATCATTGCTAGCTAACATGAAGCTACTTGTGTTGTTGTCACTTATTTAGCTCAGTGTAGTTCTGAAAGACCTTAATATCTATCTATCTATCTATCTATCTATCTATATGTAGATAGATAGATAGATAGATAGATAGATAGATATAGTGACACCCAGTGTTCAAACTAGGAACCTAGCAGTGTGGACAACCCTGCTATAAGATTATGAGGCACAGTGTCTCATAATTAAGCCAGTTACATTAAAAAGTCTCCTGACCCTGTGCTATAAACTGTGCTGTTGATAATGGACAGGGTCTATTTGTTATCCAAGTTTATCAGGTAAAGGGAATGTGTACTGTATTCTGATCCTAAAATACTGCTTTAAAATTTTGCACTTGATGTTGATGCCATACACAATTCTATTGTATCTGTCTTTCTTCCTGATAAACAGCAATGTTGTCTGTTCAACACACAATAAAAAAATAAAATAAAATAAAGCATTTGCTTTTGGGTTTTGTTTGCAAATGTATTTAGGGGAAATTATATGTTATACACATAAAGACATCTTTGGAATCAGTTATATATGGATTTAAATAAATTAATCATTTTATAAGTCAATATTTATGTCAATAAATTAATATTTTTATGTGCATTTAGTTGTTTTGAATTTTTGTTAAAGTAAGCCAACTGATTTTTTTTTCCTTAGGTTTAATAGATGTAGGGGCCTACATGTGATTTGTCTAGAAATATATTCATATGTATTTGTTAGTGTAGTTATATTACAAGCAGTAACTCCTGAACATCACAAATGTGTCTGCTAGATATATCACTGAGAGATCAACCAGCTAAATGCAAAGGTGTTTCAATCCATCTTCTGTACTGTTTATCTGACACAGGGTCACAGGGAACCTGGAGCCTATCTTGGGGACACCCTGGATAGTGTACTAATCACACACACACACAATTTTAGAGATGCCAATCATCTTACAACACATGATTTTGTATGGGGAGGAAACCGGAGTACCCCCGAGGAAACCCCCGAGGCATGTGAGCTCCACTCACACAGGATAGAGGTGAGAATCGAACCCGCAACCATGAGACTGCGAGGCTAACGCGCTAACCACTAAGCCACACCCCAAGAAACGTGACCAACTGTATTACTATATAAACCCTAAGGTTCAGGACCCGCTCATATGACCGTCATACGGACACCATGCTTTGGCTGTTGCTCTTTACTCTGTTTACACCGTCTGGTGTTTTTGCCGGGCGCTATTTTAAAGACAATCAACCGTGTTTCAAACCTCTACCAGGAAGAAGTCAACTGGGAGTCAAGTAAGAACGTGTATCTGTTTAATTCACCTTTTCATAGATAATTTAGGCGGGTATGTGGCGTTAGTTTTGTGCCAGAAGTATTTCTGAAGTATTTTCTGACTTTTTGTTTGCTAGTGGAAACGAAAGGGAAAGTTTGTTACAACGTTTCGTGTTAGCAAGATTAATTTCGATTGAACACAAAGGGACTTCTAACTGTTTACACGCTGACAGATTAGCCCTAGTAACACTGTAAGGAACTACATGATGAACTTTGAAAACCATAAATGTATTGTGGAGTGCCTTTAAAGTAACGCTTATTTGAGATAATATAATCTCCTCAGAGGTAACTAATGAGCGGTGCAATGTCTCATAATAAGTTACTGTAGTTTCTCTCTGAAAGGTAAAGAGAAGGAACACACAACCCCCCTGAAGCATATTCACTGGAAACCTGAACAGAGATTAAGATGATAAACTGCCATGTATAGTGGATCACATTTCAAAACAGTGTAGTTCATGGGTAAAAAAAAAAAAAAAAAGTTGTGTCATGCCTTTTCCCCATCTAGCTGAAACCAAGTTTTTTTTCCTCTTTGTTCAGCTACTACACAGTGCAACCTGGTTTACTTCCTTCATTTACTTCCTTAGCTGGTCTTTGAACGTTGGGAGATTTCTCTCTTTTCTTTTTTTGCCCTTGAAACCACACAATCCAGTCTGTTTTGAATGTATGCCAGATTGAGATGATTATATTTTCTCAGGACTGTTCGACGTTCTCATGAATATAAGAATGTTCAGGAGCTGCCCAAAGTCTGGGACTGGAGAAACGTCAACGGCACCAACTTTGTCAGTACTACTCGCAATCAACACATCCCCCAGTACTGTGGATCCTGTTGGGCTCACGGTAGCACGAGCGCACTTGCAGGTACACTCGCATGATGGAGAAAAGAAAAGGAATTTAATTTAGATTTTGTTTTGTGCATAAGATTCAAGGTTCTTGGCTAGTAAAATGGGCTTCGGTAACATTTTCATCTTCTCATGACTTTGAAAAAAGCTACAGATAGGGATTCTTTACAGTGATAAGTCATGCAGCACATGACTTGCACCTGCTCTGGCAGCACCACATACTCTATGAACAAGGAAGTTAATAATAATAAAAAAAAAAACAGAGCTGTTCATGCGTTAGTTGTTCATGCTCTGCTATGATGATCATGTGACCATATTAAAGTCTTGTGCAAGAGGGAACAAATGGGTGGATTTTTGGATAGAAGAGGTTCCTCGGTACAGTGCTAATCAAGGCTTCTATTCTCTTCATACTGCTGATTCTATAAAAGATTGTCTTTGTGTTATTTGATACAGATCGCATTAACATAAAGCGGAAGGGAGCATGGCCTTCTGCATATCTCTCAGTCCAGCACGTTATTGACTGTGGGCAGGCTGGGTCCTGCCATGGGGGCGATCACACAGGTGTGTGGGAGTATGCCAACAGCCATGGCATTCCTGATGAAACGTGCAACAACTACCAGGCCAAAGACCAAGGTAAGACTTTAAATGGAAACACACATAATTAAATACGATGTATGCATGCAGTATGGCAACATTCAAAATTAGTTACAGTTACAGTAAGCTGTTCATACGGTGCTCATATGATTGTCTGAAATTGGAGACCACGCATGACCGCTTTTATGGTATAAAGATTTTGTGATTCGGGCTATTTTAATGATGCAAATTATATGGTGTGGTACAATCAGCTCCAGAATTATTAGCACCCTTATCAAATTTCTCGAAAAATATATTTTTAACAAAACCCACATGTGCCAGTAACAGTGAATATGGATTTTCAGTCACAGTTTTTTTTTTTTTTTTTATGAAGGTCAACACACTTTTTTTCCCCATCTCATTTCATTTGTGTATTCTAAAATCTTTTCCATGTTGCTGAATGACTAGGGGAATTTGGCTATTTTGTCATGTCATTTTTATATCCCAGTCAAACAGGAAGTAAAATAGAAATGGGAACATGCTTCATTATTTATAAATAAATGTTTGTGGACACCTGACCATCACACCCATATGTGGGCTTTCCCCAAACTTTTGGGAGCACACAATTGTATAGGATGTCTTTGTATGCTGTGACATTACAGTTTTTCTTCAGCGGAACTAAGAGACCTAGACCAAACATGCTCCAGCATGACAGTGCCCCTCTGCACAAAGCAAGGTCCATGAGGACATGGTTTGCAAAGGTTGAAGTGGAAGACGTCTGACCTCAATAACGCGCTTGTGGCTGAATGGGCAAGTCATAGCCATGTAATCTCCATAGAACTCCATATTAATGCCCAAGGTTTTGGAATGAGATGAATAGGTGTGATGGTCAGGTGTCCACATACTTCTGGCCATACAGTGTATTTTCAGTGTAAGATTAAAGGGACACCCCAGCCAAAATCTAAAATTTAACCACTGATGCATCTGTTGTAAACATGCCTATTCGCATCTTACAGCGTTGACTCAGCAGGCTCTGTAGTGAGATTTCCATGAATACGTGGGAGACGCCCTCCTGAATACGTATGTTGGAGATAGATAAAAAATTCAGTGGCTATGGTGGATATTTTAGTCTAGATAATGGTATATTCAGGGAAGCCAGACAGCTAACTGGCTGCTAATAAGCAATCACTTTGTAAGTAAATTATCGCGATGAAGCGAATGGACGACTCAGGCGACAGAAATGACTCAACAGATGAGGATTTTTTTGAGTTACTGTTACACAGTGACATCCAACCATACATGTTTGAGCCAGAATATACAGAAGAAGAACTGCACCAGAGAGCAACTTTAGGTCTTTCAACATTACACTAAAGGTAGCAACAAAATAAGTAGCTACCATATTGCTAACTAGCAAATTACATGATTATTTGTCTTTGTGTTAACAACCTTACTAGCTATCTTACTAGTAGCTAGACAAGCATTTGCTAGCGGACAACTAGTTCTCCTACCTCAGTTTGGCTCCTTTTTTCCTCGGCATAGAGTTTCTCTGCTCTATGTTTTGTACTAAATACAGACAGAATTGCTGTTTAGGACCTTCTTTGGCAGAAGATCCAGTAAGTCCGTTTTCAAATCTATTTTATAGTCCTCCAGTTTGAAGTGCTGGCTGCACGTTCATAAATATCCATAGAAACCACTTTTGTGTTTGTAAACAAAATAATGCAATTAGCGTACCATCACTGTTAGCTTGGAAAGGTGTCCGATGGAATATTATGCAAGAAAATGAATGTTAATGAACACGTTTTCAATTCTGACACCCAATAGCACAAACAAATTCTGGCTTGCTGACCTTGTTTTTTTTGCAACCGAGGCAGGCTCTTTCTGTTTTAGCATCAGAGTGACGGTTCAGAATTCAGGAGCATCAGAATGACATTGCACAATGCATGCTGGACGTTTTAGTCTTGCCACATGGTGGTGTGGAAAACAGGAAACCGATAGAAAATCATGAATTCTGTTAAAGCGCAGACACTAAGCAATACACTAATGCGTGACGGAATACTGCATACCATAACAAAAACATTACATTCTAGTTTCAGGCTGGAATTTTCCTTTAAGCTTATTAAATGCAGAAATTTAGTCAGAACCTTTTTTTTTTAAACCCATATTTAACATGATAGTGTTTTTTTCTATTTAATGAAATATGTTCTAAAAGCAGTACAACAGTCTTAACGGTAACACAACTTGGCTGGCAAAGAATCACAATCTTAAGTTCTTACTTGTCAATTCATACAGTGGGCTAAAGTAGTAATCACATAATTGTTCTTTAATAAACTATAGAATGAGAAAGTTCACGAATTCCAGGATGGCTGCAGACCTCTCATCCTCAAAATTAATATTTAAAATTTACATACCAAACCTGCATTCACTTAACATGTTGTCTAGTTCCACTGAAAGCAAAAAAAAAAAAAAAAACCAACAACTTCTCTGTGACTTGAATGCTTTCAGATTGCAAGCCATTTAATGAGTGTGGCACATGCACTACATTTGGCCAGTGCTATGTTGTGAAGAATTACACTCTCTGGAAGGTTGGAGACTATGGGTCCGTCAATGGCCTGGAGAAGATGAAAGCTGAGATTTATTCTGGAGGACCCATCAGGTACATGAAAGGAAATATGACTAGAAAGATTTGGTATCCTTTGCCTTGTTTGTTTTCACTCATTATTACTCATTATTTTTCAATTTGCATACAAACAGTGTGGATGCATTAGTCACATGCTGATCATATGATTATATGCACACTTGGTTCCTCTTTAAGGTTCAACATTTCAACACACAAATGTACAGAAGAATTAAATGGTATTTTCTATGAACAGCGGTGAAACTAGTGGCTCTGTTATGCAGTGAAAGGTATTTTCCTGGCAGGGATTGCAATCATTTGTCCCTTTAGAGGGTATTTACAAATCCATACAATACTAACTAGCTTGATGAATATGACAATGATGTAAATCATATGTTTTGGCCTTCACACTTACCAGATCTCGGCCCAGTTTGAACACCTATGGGATATTTTGGACCATCATGTTAAACAGTTAAAGCACCATTATCAAAATACCAACTCTGGGATTATCTTTTGGAAGAATGGTGTTCATCCCACCAGTACAGTTCCAGAGACTTGTAGAATATATGCCAAGGTGCATTGAAGCTGTTCTTAAGAACACCTTAAGAACCTTTATGTTGATTTTTTTGTATATTTTTTACCCACCCACATCCCCCTATTATACACAAAATACACAAAAGAGTCTCTGTCCCTGAAATCAGTCTCTGGACATGTCCAAGCAGAGCTTGGTGAATATACTTGA